CAAAAACACCAAGCCATTTCTCTTGTAGCACCTCACCTTATTGCCATTTAAATAAGATTTGGAAACAAAGAGGCGGTTATATTTAAAGGGAAAAGCTATTCGGCTGCCAATTTGGACAATTATAAGCCAAGAAGACAAGTAGTTCCTGTGAAATCGAGTTGCATGTCAGAATAAGACTAATCAGGAATGAAACCGAGGAATATTGCTAATTTTAGTTCGTCTCTTGAAAGCACTGAAGGTCTCAGTGATCATGAAACTCATGGAATTAAGATAGAAAATACACATTATTGATGAAGTGTAAATGATCTAACAAATGCAAAGCATAGTCAAGTCTTAAAAAAGGGGAAAGCAGCTTCAATGCTTAATTGGGAAGCAGTTACTTGGCAACATGGGGTTCGCCCCTAACTTAAGACTCACTTGAAGTGTATAGACGCATTGAAGTGCTTGGAAGTAGCTGTGCATATCGGAAAAAAAAGAATAAGAACTTGTTTTAGTGAATTAATTTTATTATCCAAAGAAAAGGAGTGCGTATGGGGGTTGCCAAATAGGTGGACCACACATCTCTGTCCACGTTTGACATTAATTATCAAAACTTATTTTACGCTATTACCAACTCGAGATGTTGTAAATAAGGTGTTTACTGCAGGTAGAATTCGTAAATAATAAATACCATCTAGATTAAAATTTTAGAGAAAACGGTAAATGAAAATAATTTCAGGAATGAAAAATCGGAACGTGGTTTTTTGGTCTGTCTGTAGTAGGCTAATAAAAAAATAAAAGTGAAAAAGCCGACTTTCTTACGATGGTCTAATTATGGCAATACAAATATCGTGCTTCGTCAATTCAATCTATGGTTATCGTTAATTTGTTTTTTATAATTTCAGATTTTAATTACACAAGATGGGAAAACAACGGAGATTTTCATCTTATTATTCTGTTTTAACAAACAATACTTGTATGTAAAAAGGAAAGAATGCTTTTCCAAATTTTGGCTTGAGAAGTGAGAGTTCCGTGGAACGCACGAGCACTATTTGGTTTTGTCCTTCGCACAGTCGTTCAGTAAACTTATTTTCAGTTTATTATTTATTCAATACATCCGTTTTTAATTAAGGATAATTGATAACAAACTTTGCCTTTAGTAAAATTTACTGAGCTCGTTTATATTACAGGTGTTTGAGCAGATCTCACTAACCTACGCACGGTTGTAAATAGGCAAAGGTGAGTAAAAAGTGGAATGATGAACCATTCAAGTAGATCAGCTGATCAACACGCAGTGACTGTCAGAGACATTTAGTCAACAAGGAACCTAGAGAGAACAAATCATACAAAAAAAACATTTTAATATTGAGGTAACATTAATTTTATCTTACCGCTCATACGCAACCAGACTTCATTCTCTATTGCTCTTCAATCCTCCCAGTCCTATTGTCATATTTTGCCATTCTTCGGTGGTTGGCGTTACCCCGCTATTAAACCCCTTAAAAAGTCTATTGTATTTTTTTCACCGTTATCCACTGTTTCAAGATTATTATATCCAATCTACGGGGTGTGCGATAGACTTACCTCCACGTGGTGCACTCTGGGCAACGTATACTCATACGGCAAAAAAGTCTATTAATCGGCAGTTGACTTCTGACTTCAAAATACCAAGACCCCACCGCATTTCATATTCTACTACTTAAACAGTACTCACCTTTTTTCTACCTTTTTGTCTGTCTGTCTCTTTTACGTCTGTGAATCATTATTCTGTCCCCCCCCCTCGACCTTTTGCCACTTTGCTGTTCCTCTTCCTTTCTGTGAAGCCCGAAGTCAACTAAAGGGCTAATGATACCTATCATAACGCCTGCCATTTGAAATAAATTAATATATCCAATCAACAGAATGATACTTAAAGGTAAATTTCGTGTTTGGGAAACACTTAGCTTTTGCTATACAAGATAGGAGCAATGTGTTTCTCCTACACATTAATTGCTGTTGCTATTAGAAATATCATTATCTTATTGGAAATATAAAAGAGCTAATTCAATAGAAGACTCAGCTCATACCTGCTACAGCTCAAAACCAGTTAAAAATCAATTCTTAATTGAATATTTAATGATGGGAATATTTTGCGAAATACAAGATTTATAAGTGCGTAATGAAATTGTTCATAGGTGTGAAAAAAAAACTAATAATTGGTGTGGATTTTTTGTCAATTAATTTATGACATTGTTTGAAAAGGATTTTAAGAAATTCGAAATTTTGAAGATATTATAGTCGACAAGAGGATAATACATGAATTGAAGTAATCGGAAGAAGGATAAAAAAATCTATTTTTTTATTATTTTCTGATAACTAACCAAAGTTAATGATAACGTTATGGGGCAAGGATGGCACCTGATTTAACGGCTAGCATAACAAATCGAAATAAAATTATACTCGGGGTGGGTAGTTCACATTTTCTTAATCAATTATTTTGGAGATAATTCTCACTTCCAATTTTATTTCGGACTCTGAAGTTAAGAACGACCATTTAAGGAACCAAGGTCGTCAATGGTAGTAGAGCAATTGCTGTGGACCACTCAAAACTAGCTTAGTTTTGATATAATAACCTTCATGGTACCGAAAATATCTTGACTATTCCAGACCATACCACTTCGCTGACCTTCCCAACAGCATTAGAGGGGAGGCATTGTGTCTGAAATAGGTAAAATTGACTTTTATTAAGAGACTATAACAAATCCTCCACATGGAATGAAATTAAAGACTTCTGTGATTATTATTTTGAAATACAAAAAGAAAACACATGCACCTTCACCTAACAAAGAACTTTTCTAAGTTTGTGAGCGAAATTAATTGTAAATCTGCTGAATCAGTGGAAGCATTTAAATCTGCATGCAAATGAAAGTAAAAGTGTCGAGGTGATAAATAATTTAATTAGCTTTTCAAAAATGAATGCATAATGGAGACCTTTTCTCGTGCAATATTAATAATCAAGACTAACAAGTAACAATTAGCAAGCAAAAAGCTAACATATTAAATCAAGAAAATCAGAAAAGATTTCTTATTGAAAGTTGCACTTTTGGCTAGATTATTTGAAGCATTGTCGAGCGAACGACAGGAAAAATGGAAAGCAAAATGCCAATAGGAGACAACGGGTTTTAACCAGTCATGATTGTGATGTCCAATGTCAAGTATCAAATGATTAAAACAATATTGTCAGATAAGCAACACCTTAGCACCCGCCAATCAATAGGAAATCAATCAGTGCATGAGGGCGCGATCAGAAGTTACCATTTTAGAACACTAGAACATGGTGTACAGCAAGACACATCAACTAGCAGAAAACCTCAATTTTATCCAAGTCTATTCTTCATTCTGCCATTCAACTATAATTTTAAAATTCGAATTTGGATATCACATTGAAAAATCCCTCATTTTTTCTCTCTATTGGCAACCTAATTAGTATTTTACTTGAGGCAATTCCTTTTTGCACACTCATTCATGGTGAAGGCATATATTACACAAAGATGTAAAATAAAACAATAAATCTGCGCTTTCTTGCGTTTCAATGTACACCCACAAAAATCAGATTTTGAGTCATTAGTTTGCGCACAAAAAAATTCGAGAAAATTCATAAAAATATTTCAATGCATTTTGGGCGACAACGACTTCTTAAAAATCAAACCATACCCAAACTTCGCTGTTATTCTTATCACCATGACAGCAAGTATAGGCAACCCAAATAGCTAGTGGGATTGCGAATTGAGCAAGAGATGACAAAGGAAAGGTGGGTAGACACACCGGTGTACACACAGGCGCAAACGTGGTGCGTGATTATGCATTATTTCAGACATTTTCTAATGAGCTGAATTATGCTTAATGCCAAAATAATCAATAATTCGATGCAGGAGAACAGGTTCTAACGCATCCAACATGAGAAGATTGAATTGTAAATAAAAGCAAGGTAACATTCTAATCAGTAATTTATCTGCATGTGGATTTCGAATTTATGCAATTTAATGGTAGAGACAATTTGATCTCAGAAGTGATATATTTTTAATGAAGTCACATTAAATTCAAAAACAAAACGGTCAGATATTAAAAACCATGAACTTAAAAATAGGGTTAGTGTGATTGTCATAAAAGTCGGTCAAATGTCATTTTTTTATGAAAATTTTAATAAATACCACTTAACTTTGTAATAGGCTGCGCAAAGCGAGAAATATTGGGGAAACAAGATTTAAAGTAGTTGTTTGGTTTTATCTTATCGAGAAAATTAAATAGGTGCATCAATAAGAGATAGAAAAACCAACTTCAAGATGAAATGCACCAAAACTAAAACGAAACTCGGAGTTAAATTACTATTGCTTTTCAGCAACCATCTCAATAATACATGAAGAATATGATTGCTTTTCCTTTCAAGGGTTATGGAATAGAAATCAGCATGATAGTATACAGAAAATGAGTGGATAAAATGTTTAAAAATGTGTAAATGCACAGTTATTTGTATGATAGAATAAATTTAGCAACAAAGAGGCCTTAAATGTGGCTGACATTTCAGCGAAATGAAAATGGAAAGAAACCTCAGTGTGAAAGAACCTCGCTCTCAAAAGAGCAAAACTGTGCTCACACAGGAATTCAATATCGATTTGAAAATGAGTAGGTATAGAAAAAAAACATCTAAAGTTAATTGAAATATATTAAAACTCCAAAAGCTCGGAGTGAGAGAGGTATTAAATACTTAAAATAAAGCCCAACTTTCACTCAGTCAATTATAACTCGAAGCACCAACTTGGTAAAAAATCACAAATATCGACTCGACCAACACATAAGGCAATGCTTTTAAGACTGAACTGCTTCCATTTCACTCTAGTCTACGCTAAGAATTTGCAGCAATAAATGTTCAATATTCGACGGAACATTTTTAGACAAGTAGATAAATTTATTTACTAAATATAATAAAGTTATGGAGTTAGATAAAGTAGCACTGACGCACTTTTAACAATAATACGTTAAATTCACTTTTCGACAGCAATCTCTGACAGATAAAAAATATTATAATATGTATTTCTTCTTGCATAATAAATAATGAGTGACATGGCTTAGGAAATTATTAAAATGTATATATAGGTAAAAAAGGAAATTAAACAATGCTTCTACATTACTATAAATTCTTAAATAAAAGCAACAACTTTGTGCATATATTCAACCCTTAATGCTAGTGAATCAAAGTCAAACCACAAACGTTATTTGCAAATAGATTTGAAATGAAAGCAAAGTACATCTAGTTAAAATGGAAAGTAAAGAACAACTCTGAATTAACCTTCACTATTTTAAAGCGTACCGAAATTATTTTGCCCTTGTAGTTAGCAGAAAATTGTGCAATGCTTTAAGCCCTAGTTTTGAAGTCATTATTTCAACTTTTTTAATACTTATCCCATATTTGGTAATTAAAACCATACAATAGAGACAAATTGTTAAGACTATTCTGTGTATGAAATTTACAAGCCTCCACAAAATCGCATCAAAGCAAACTAGTATAGTTTATTCAACAAATATTAAACACCGAATTTGCTGATTATAAATTGACTTAATTTAAAAACTACGTAAATGGCATTGAATAACTTACCGGAGGCCATAACAACATTCGTGCGTTCAGCTTGGCAGGAGTACGGCTGGGATATGATCATAGGATTTTCTTTGATATAGCTAGAAAGAGGAGGATAGGATGAAATTTGGTTTATTCCAATCGGGTTAGGAGAATTCGGGGCAATGAGGAAGGGGTCTGGTGTGTTGAAAGTTGGTCCATATTCAGGATTGTAGATAAAAGCACTTTCAGATTGGGGCGGTGGTGGTGGAGGTAGAGGAGGACCTAAAATTTGTGTGCGAGAAGTGGAATCCTTGAAATTCGAAAGCATCTTGTCGTGTTTGGAACGAATCCATGCTCGGTAACAGGCGAGACAAGCGAGAATAACAAGACCTATGAAAAGTAAATAAATATTTCAAACTAAGTATTTTGGATGAAAGAATTTATTTTAAAATATTGATAGTAAAATACCAACAGAAACGCCTCCGAAAATAATTCCGCAGATCTTGCCAACTGACCAGTCAATGTCGTCGTCAGCTCGAATAGTTAAGAAAGAGGTAGACAGGACCAGAAGTAACAAAGGCAGGGACATTGGTGTCTTATTCCATAATATAACCTTAAAATAAACAGAAGCGACTAAAAAAATGAAATGGAATATATGAAATATATTGGTATATGTGAAACATATCTGCACTACTTTTAATCATGAAAACCGAATGATTATAGTTATCAAATAATTAAGTAGACGACAGTGGCAAATATTTGTTTAAGGTTTAACATTAAAAACGATTCACAACAATAATTATTAATTACAAATCCTGTGAATGACTGGATTACTTTTATTTATAACTATAAAAGATACAAATGTTTCATACAAATCATTATAACCAACTTGACAAAAATCTCAAGGTTAAACATAACCTAGAGTTGATATATTACTGCCTTATCTAAACTAATGAATTTTCTTAACTTTATGTATATACAGCTTTTCAATATAAGAAGTCGATTGACGAATTATTTAAAATTTTAAAAGGTTATCTTTTAATACAGTTAATTTTATTAATTCGCTTAAAAATCGTAAATGATTACAAACACTAGTAGCATATATGGCATATATGAAATATATTCAGTTATTTCTTTAAATATCTACATATCTTGACGTATCATTAAGTATCTGAAACTGAAAATGTTCATTCTGTTTTTAATTAACTTTAAATTATAATTTCAAATATATGCACCTAAAATAAAAGAGTGGAAAGATTTTATAACGACTAGCAACAAAGAGGAAGCATAATCCTGGGCTTCATTAGGTAAAGTTGGAATAATGTGCAAGGCTCGTACAATTTAAAATTGTATTAACTTTCCCTTGACGTATTCCCCATTTACAGCCGATACCTGTAAATAACTAGGTTTTTAAAAATTAATTCCAATTACTGTTATTATTCTTAGAAATTTTGGAATAAAATGCTGTATCCTGTTGCTATCCTAAACATTTAATGCAGCCTTAGGAGTCAACGATCTTTTCGATTATTCTGGCACGATGCACAGATCTAGTGTTGATTTGTATTGATAGCGACGTGATAACTCTTTCAACATAAAGAATAAATGATATAAATGAAACAACCGACTTCTTAATTAGTAGAATAAGTATCACAATTTATTTAGTATTTGTTGCTAATCACAATCTGGTAAAAAATAACTCCTGCGTAATTTATAATCCAGACATTCCAATGAATTTTTTAGCGCACCCAAATAAATTCAAGTTTAGAGAAAATGAAGTTTGAGAAATTTAGGTTTGCGATGACTTGAGAACAAATCATTTAAAATTGCTTTGATCTTTTTACCGCAGATCTTCTATGCATAAAAGATACAACATCAAGCAATTTTAAAAACTCCTATATAGTTGAAGAAATAATCAGTGAAAGATATAGGTTATATAAATAATTAAGTTAACTGCAATGACCAATACAGAGTAAATATCATTAAGTTGAATTTACAAACAATCGAAATATAATTTAACGTAGTAGTATTGTCAAGATCAATTATCGTCAATGTTATAAGATTTCAAAATGATATTTGCTGCTGAAGTAAGTAATACCCACACAAGACCATAATTGTATGAAATATCGTTTTATTTAGCTCCTGTTACACCCGCCACTTACGGTATTCTGACGATGTCGGTAAGATATTCTGGAATTTACACATATAATTAAGTTCTTAATTATCAATAACCTAATGAGCGAAGTCCGTTTTTTAAATTGATGTTAAGTTTTGGATCTTTTCTTTAGTTATTAATTCGCGGTTTCTCTTATGTCAAGGCTAACTAATTGTCAATATCTTTACACTTACTTTCGCTTCCAATAGTATATACACCGACTATTCACTGGATTATGATGTCATCAATCCCTTACGATGCCTCTGCAGTAATGTCTGGAACGGTAAATCCCGCAAATCCGAATTACGTGGTCCCTCTAACACCCTCCGCTGGGGTTAATACTGGTACCGCTGCCACCTATATGCGTAGTGCTCTAACACCCCAACAACAAGCACAAATCAGTGTTTCTCCTGATGCCACATTTATGTACCAATATGTCTCTCCTCCTCTTTCCTCCTCCTCGTCTCCCTATGCAACCACTTCTCGAGATAGGATCACTCAACCCACAGCAGCTACAGCCTTACCCAATCCTTTCTTAGATTATGCTGCAGTAACTGGTCAACTGCCTTATTATTGTCGTATGTTCGATTTTTCCCATTTTGATTTTGCCCTTTATGTGTGCTCATTTGCCGGCATTGTTTTTACTTTTATTGCTCGCCATTGCTTGGCAACACATACGGGGTATTGTTTCTCGTGTCGCTGTAGTTAAAGACTATATTTCTTACACAAATTCTTTTCTGATGTCTTGTCGTAATCTACGATAGATATTCCCATGTTATTTGGTGTGCTATGATATGCTCGCACATCGTTAGTACAATCCTGGTTGCCCAAAATCTAGCTTTCTCGTTGGTGTATGGCAATTTATTTCTGTCGGATTGTTTTGTCTTTTTACTCATTGTTTACATATCTTTATCATTCGATGGCACACGTTTGACACTTGCGTTTGAGTATTTATTGTTAGACTACCTCCAATTACTTTTTCTGAAGTTATATTTGAAATTGACATTTTATTAGGCGACAATTATCCACGAATTGATTTACGGGGTTATAATGAAAATCAACATTGTGATATTCATGAGGTGTTTTTTTACAATTAATGTTTTTTCGAGTTTCTTTATACAAGTAGACTTGATTGAATGTCTTCTTTTTTATGTATGATTTTTCTTTCATGGCTTTTTTATTCGCTTCTTCCTCATTAACTTTCGGTGGATGAGTGTCAATTCACTCATACTTATTAGTTGTTAGAAGATAGGCGAGCTATCGTTAGAAGGTTTTATCTAAGACTAATGACTATTTTTTTTTATTTCTAGGTTGACAGGAAATCGATATTTTTGCTATTGTCTTGTATCTGACCTTATTTAACAAGGTCATTTTGTGTTTTTAGTTGATTTTAATCCAATACTAAGTGGCTCCGTGTTACCTAGTTCCGTTTTTACATAGCTAAAAGTCCCGAGTCTTATTTTCAGTGAAATTTCAGCTCAAATATGCAAGTATGAGTTTTCAATGGGTCATCACTCCGTATGAAAGTATCTTCCACGCCTTGTTATTTTGACGTAAAAAGCTGTTTGATTTTTTTTGATTTAGGGATTTTCTCATTATTAGTTGGTTTTCATCATTTTGACTACTGTGTTCTGCTAGTTGCTTATGGACGAATTTATGTAGTTTTAGGGGAATCAGATTGATTTTACATTGCCGAACTCGTGTATATTTGGTGCTAATGGTATTTTCAGGTATCGTTTATAAAATACTCAATCAGTCACCATTAATTCAGTACAATATTTTAACACGAATTTCCCTTTTTTGTTCAATCTTGAAGCAGAATTAGTAGAATATCGTTTAGTAATTGAAAAGAGTTTCCTCGTTTTATGTAGCAGAGAGGTATCTTAATGTTCTTCCCGGCTTATTAAGGGACGAAATAGTAAAATTTGACTTGCTAATTTTACATTCTTTCGTTCCTCTTCTTGTTCAATTTTAACAGTTGCGTCACTCGTGGGCCATTCACATCAGTGATCTACATCGATGATTAGTCTCGGGATCTTGCCTTTGATCACTATAGCAGTGCACGATCTCCCAGGTATTCCAGACCAGTTTTGATCAACAGATAGATATATTCAATATTTTTTTCTGTTGAAGCATTTGCCCTAGGCAACAATTACGTATTCGCCACTTTGCATGTCGTTGGCCAGTTGATTCGAACTTATACGTTCTCCTTTTCTTTTTCCCAGTTGTCTTCTATATTAGAAGGCTCCTCGTTCGGGTAAGATTAGCTCATTATTGAGTTCCACTTTTAGTTGAGCCGGTATCTCATAATATGGCAAAAAATCTCTTGTCAGTCATATGGAAGCAAATTTCTGCTTGACCAACTTATGATTAAATGTCATTAGACACAAACCCGGGCCTTTCTTCAATGGACGAGCCATTTAGTGCTTATCTTCCGATGAAGTAGGATGACTTAGTAAGTAGTGTGATTAAATGACGGTTCTTGGTTCGTGAAGTACATTCAATTTAAAGGATAGTGTTTTTGCATCTCGTACTTGATACTAATGCAGTTCAAATTATGGTTAATGTTCCGAATATTAGCGAGTTTTCTGTCCGCCCGAGGCATAATTTTCTCAATTTCCGAAAGCGCAGGTTTGCAGTCGTAAATTTTTTTTCGAAATCAGTAATTCCTTCAACTTGTAATAGTTTGTTACTACTGAAAGGAGGTGAAAATAGGAACTGACCAGGTTTAGGCAATGAACTCAGCTAAGATTTGCAACTGCCACAAGACACTCATTGGAGAAAATATTAGTAACTCACGGCTTAAGTAAGTACATAGGCCTCAGTATTGCCCCCGTTGATTCTTATCGAAAGTGTCGAGTTAAAAATATTGACAGGTATCGCTATTTTTCTTTATCTCATTGCACTTTGATTCATATATGGGACCACCAGGTAGAATTTGGTTTAATTTTAACACATATGATTAAACCGGGGTCAACCGAATGTTCACCCATCCGAATTAGAACTCACGGGCGCTTATGCGGGTGGGCCGTTATTTGGTTCCAAAAAATAGTTTCACGAAATGGAATTTTCCGTTTAACCTTCCTGGGCGGATTTAAGGAAGGCCCCGGTACTTATTAGTGGTCTGATTATCAACTCCCCGTTACAGAATAAAGGTGATTGCAAGGTCCTACATTCGAATTTGTTCTCTTTTTTTCATATCTAAGAGCAATAGGATTCCTATATGTATAGATCATCATTTTTTCATCCTTCCTTGTCTACTACATTTGGGTTCGTGTTTTGTCGCAAATCGCACACAATGCTGATGAGCTAGGATGAATCATCAAGATAGTAGGTAGCGATACCCGATCCACTGTTAAATCATACTACAAACGTGCACTTTACTGTCGCAGCTACAGTTAATTAGTTGGCTAGAGAAGGACTGATTTTGTGCTGAGAAAATCATGTGTGCATTGTGTTGTGAAAAATCACTACGCGATTTCACTGTGACGTATGCAAGTCTCCATGTCTTCCTTCTATCTCTCTCTCTCATTTACGATAAATTGTGTAGTGGGATGAGTCAGCACATTTCAGGGAAGGCAACATTATGGTAAAAACGACTACAGTCATCCATAGTCTGTTATGATTAAGACCTGAGGATTAGAACATTTTATGCGTGGGTTTTACGTAACTCCTTTTACTGGTGATGTAACCATAACCACCCTTTCTTTCCTTTAAATAGTCTAGCTATTTATAATGGTCTTAAAGCCTATTCCTGGTGTTCACTATTTTCCTGAATGACTATATTCACTGACTGTACTGTTTATTTTACAGAACAATCGAAACTGCAGATAGTATTCTATCGGAGCATTTATGATCTACGTAGAGCCTTTTAACAAATATCTCAGCTAAAAAAACACAAAGTTCGCTTATATACCCCTCGCTAATATCAATGTCAAAATATTCGGGGTACTTTTAACTTTTTGCATATTTTCAGCAGAATATTGCTAGCTCATTAGGGGGGGGGGGGTCTTAAAGAATACCCAAATAGTGGTTTCTTAATTAGAGGAGCTCTCGATTTATTTGAAATTTTATTAGATTAAATCATGTGATTTTATGATTTTTCTAATGTTTGGTCGGTGTTGTGGTTCATTAACTAGGTGTGAAGCCGGTAAAGGTAATTACCGTTCTTTTCACAACTTGTTTTTTATGTCCCTTCATTTGTTCTGTTGCATTTTGTCGTGTGTCTCAAGCAAATGCAAAGTAAGGAAGTGTCGAAGTTGGTTTAGCTATTTGCCTTCCAGTTGCTTCACTAGGAGCCTTTTGTAACTCCAGACATTTTTCTTTGCAAAGAAAAATAGCAGAAAATTGGTTAGAGGTGAAAGTTTGTACAACAGAGGGAACCATGGGAAATGTCATCTTACTTCAATTTCCAGTGAGCATAAAAATAACAGTTAGTTAAAACATCAGATTGGGGGCCAGATATGGTTGCATGAATGGAGGAGGTTATGGAAATGCTTTTAAATGAATGTCATAGGAAGTTAACGAGAAGTTTTTTTTCAAATGGCAGGCTTCATAATATTTGTCATTAGCCCTTAAACCTTGACTTTAGCTTCCCCCATGAGGGGGGGGGGGTACATTTATTGCAGTTAATTAATTGCAGTTCGTTAGCTGTCTTCTTGCTTCCAGGTATCTCTGGCTTTCCGTCCTTGTCTTTAGAGCTGGACACCGAATCAGGTGGGTCTTCTCCATTTCCTCCTGTAGGTTACATAGAGGGCATGTGGGTTGAGTGTATACTCCCAATCTGTGAAGGTGTTTTGCCAAGCAATCGTATCCGATACGTAGTCTAAATTCAGCAACGGCTTCGATTCTTGGCCAGTCGGCTATATCGGAGAGTGACACTGTCCACCATTTCTCCTTTGTTCGTGCTTTAAGTTCGTTGCACCTTGAGGTCTGGAATTCTCTCCTGATTAAGGCCTTCATTGTGTGGAAAGACATCGGCCGGTCTATGCCTTGCAAAATCATTGTCCCCTTCTTAGCAAGTGAAGATTTAAGTGGATGAATCGGCGAACGTAAACTAGTGCATTAGCATTTGCCGTTGCAGACTTATTAGACTATTTCGAGTTTCCCTTGTTCATCATTTAGTTTCCTGAATGTTTATCGAAATTTTATTGTGTTTCCTACAATTTGTTCCTCTACTTCACCCTATATTAATTAAATCAGGCCATCTTAATAATATTAGGAATGTTCTTAAATGCTCTTTTATATTTGGAAAAAAGATATTATGCTTTGACATTTGTAGCCTTCCTGTGATATTGTGGGAATCTGGTTTATGTAGTTATTATTTTAGCCAAAAATAGCCTCAATTAAAATTCTCTTCCAGTTATTCTTATCTGTGAATGTGAATGGTAACTCTTGACGTGATGTCTTTTTTTCTCCAATGACAAGTAACAACGTGTCTTTGTCGATTTACTGCTTCCATTGTCAACTTTATCGACTTCACCGTCTTATTCCAAACAGTTTCATGCGATTTCTCCTGCCTCTCCTGCGATTTCTCAACCTCCTAGTTCAGCTTGCCTAATCCGCTAGGTCTTCCGGTTCACTCTTTTGAATCTTTGGTTAATAGTAAAGCCGCGTTAACTCCACATCTCTCCTCTCTATGCTCCTTTTGGAGCACATTTAAAATTAAAATTTTCTATAAGATAGAGGTATAGGATGTCTAATTAACATAGTTTTGGCTCTATGCTTTACGAATTAATTGCACTTGGGTGTGTGACAAAAGGCCACTATTGATCTTATTTCTTTTCAAATCCATATCGCCTTTTGATTGTTTCATTAATTATCACAGTTCTTGATAAAGCCGGCATTTAGTCAAGTAACTGGCTATTCGTTATTAACGTAGCTGTCTATGCAGGTGTCTACGTCATAATCATCTAGTACTCATGAATGCACTTTTAAGGCTTGAATTTCCGATAGGACGATTTTTAAAATCGAGCTAATCTTAATTTCTTCTATCAACGACAGCGTTAGAATTGCTAACGAGTTTACTATTTCGTCTTCTAATTGAGTCAAATCTTAAGTTCCATTTCGCTTGTTCCCTTTTCCAGCTCAGTACTTTCAATATTCATTGCCCACAACCGCAGACGCCGCCTATCAACAGCAGGCACAAGCCCAGTCTGTTCAATCCATCGACCCATCTATTCTTGGAGCCTACCAACTCTCATCGCCGCCTCCACAGCCTCTAATTCCTGGACAAACATTAGAGGGTACAACCATAATTCCACAACTCCTTGCCAACGTTAACACCCCCACAGCACCGGCTTGCAACACATCAAGTAGTTGTTCCACACCCGCTGGTGCTCCTACTGGAGTCTCATCACCTCAGCCTGGAGCAAATAGTAGTAATAGCCAACAACAACAGAAGAGAAGACTTTCTTCACCACTTGTCCTTCAACAGCAGCATGCTCAACAGTCGTCACGGCAGCAACAGGATCAACAACCAATGCAGCAAAACCAGCAGCAACAGGTTGGAGGAGAAGCAATTCCCACTGCTGTGAGTACCGCGGTTGTTTTACTTATTTCGTTTTATTGTTAGTAGAAATTGGCCAAATTATGCTCGTATTAGTTCGTATTGTGGACTGCCCACAAAGACTCAATTTACATACACCTCAGGAAGGAAGAAATGCAATCATAATTAGATTGTCTTTTCTCCAAGTGAGTTTCTCGTATAGCCAGACACTGGTAGTTTGGTTGCTAGAAATTCAAAGTCGTGGGGCTTATGATACAGAAGATCTTGAATTGCGATGTTTGACCAAGATAGATTCTTTTGGACCTATAAAAATACATTTTACACTGAATCCCAATTTCAGTTACGAAAGCGTCTATTTTGGTTCATATTTTTGTAATTAAGCTTGGGCAAATTTATTTCAACCCAAACTAAAGGATGTCTTTTGAAGTTCATATGTGTGCTAATGTATTTGTGCACCTATCCTTCTTTATGGAGATACTAGCTGTTTTTTTCCCAATTCTTTGGAGAATAGTTTTCTTCGCATGTTTTTGGTAAGCTTTTTAATAATTTTTGGTTGTGTAATTGCTGTTGATAGATTGAATCATGCTTAAAAACTGGGAGTAAATTCACTGAAATGTATCTCAGGTTAATCCACAAGTTCTGCTATCTGTCGAAAAAAAACGGGAAAATGCGTCATTCAACTCAGTCAGTATAGATTAATTAAGTTACTAAGCTGTCAGTCAATTTCTCACAAATCGTTCCCCCTTTGACCTTTTATGCGTGTCTGCTACAAGTCCTCTTTAATTGGTTGTTGAAGGTCAAAACGGTGTGGCTGATGGCCTTTTTCTTTAATCCTATCTGGACCATCAAGATATCACCATCAGTGTGTGTCCACTGGCTTCTTACTAGCTGTAGGTAAGCTAGACGAGCATAGAGACCACTTGCCGAATTCACACTACCCCCGTCTTCGTTGCTGTTGCGAGGTGCATGCTGCTGATTTGAATTTCAGATTTTCTCTGCACCTTTTTTCGCTTTAAAAAGAGACTGTAAAAATTGCGTATTTTTAACCCGACGAAAGAACAAAGGAAAAATACGTTTGATCATTTGCTAGTCTCTTCTTGTCTTCAATAGCAAGGAGTCTAATAGGACATATCTTTTTAAAAATAAAAAAAAACATGACAGAAGTTATTAATAAAACATGCTTTTATTTTTTTTCTTTGATGTATTTTAATTTTTGTTTGTTAGTAATAATCTGCCTCATTATAAATAGCATCAGCCGTCTTGATTTTAGCTTTTTTTATTTACTCTTACCAATCCACACAACCGATAATTTATCTTTTATCACATTGCAGTCAAATGGTCGCATATTGGTGTCACGTTTATGTACTGAATAACTGAATTGACATGGTTGTGTTGAAACAGAAATCAGACATACTTTCTGACACTCTTTAAATCCAGATTGCAATACTTTCTGAGCCGGTTACATTTCATTATGTGACTCACCTGCTGATGTAGACTATTCACTGGTTTGTGTGCTTCATTAGCAGACTTGACGAGAAATGGCATTACTGCTCTATCCTCATTTGAGCGAATGCTGAATAGAAACCTATGTGAACGCTGCGATAACTCTCTCGCTTGATACCTCGAATGCCCTAGCATGTGAAACTTATCTCAATTCAGGTATATACTGGCACAGGTTGCTAGGAGAATCGTTAATTATGAGCCGTAAACTTGTCTAACGTCTTCTATTTGATCCACTTATTGATTTACTTTTAAAGATAAAAAGTAATACCTAAGCTGGAATTGTGTCTAGCCTTACATTTTGATAGCGTAACTATTACGCTTAGTAAGAATTCCTTATCTAAAATATTGACCTTGACAGTGAAGTGCAAAGTTGGAGGTGTGCAGTACATTTCTCCTTCACCAGTGAGCTTACAATTATTCGTATTCACACATCACAATCATTGAATTATCGATGTGAATTAACGTGGACTTCGGTGTGAAATGTAAATTTGAGCCCTGTTTGCGTATTCTTCGAACTTCACATGTGCATCTATGTTTAGTTTCTCAATGCTTTAAAAGAGTTTTGCATTTTTGGCGTTTTAAATATTCTATTGATATGGCTTTCAATGAGAAAGAGGAGCTAACTTCTTTTACTTAAACCAGTCAGGATGTGATTTATAAATTTTTTTCCCTGTTTGAAAGTTTTATGAAAATGCGCAAAAGTTCAGCTTTACATGAAATTCTAAATGAACATAGAGGGCTTGTGTCGGATCGCTCAGGATTCTATTTTACGTAAAATTTATTGGTACTCGTTGCATCAATCGGAACACGCTTACTTTTACAATGACCCCCCCCCCCTACTATGTTCGTACTTTTCTCATTAGGTGATGAATGGGTGATTGTAACGCGACATATACAGAAGGCTTTATTCATCCAGACTGCCAGAGCAAAACTGAGAGCAGGTTTCCACATTTGTACGAAATAGACCTCTTTTGATGACGTGCTGAAATTACTCTTCCTACTAAACCCTCAAAATTGCTTCTCCCATGAAGTGGAAAGCTGAAACATTCAAAATGTAAAAATTTTTAATGCTGTCTCCATTGTAGAGTTCCCATTCAAGCTCTCTACATAGTTTTATGAAGTATAGCTTCTCATTTCAAGTTACTATATGTAGCTTTAATAGCTCTAATGTTCTGAAAGGGTTCTAAGTTTGTTATCTTACATACCCTCTCCATTTGAATGAATTACGCAATTGAATTGTGTGAAGTGTCTAGCAAATGCCGCCTCCTATGCAAAAAAATGCAAAGTTAAACTCGAGTTGCTTAACTACGTGTAGCAACAATCTATACTTAACCGGTTATTTATATTCCAGACAATCCTGATCTTAGCCTCTTTAGTGCCATTTCTTAAAGCCTGGAAGGCGTAGTCTTTGAACTCGATTTGTGTGATTAATTGCGAATCTATTTATATTCCTATACACAAGCCACAACAACAATGAGGGTGAGAGAGAGATGCGTATGCGTGTTTATAGGCGATTACGCAAGCGCACATATCGATTGATTACTATCACCGCCGCCCCCACCCCCCACCACCGCTGCTTCGATTTCATACACTGTCGATAAGCATAGTCTTAGCACTGGTGTGCATTTTGTGTGTGATTTCGCGCCACTTGCGCCTGCCTCTCTCTGCCTTCTCCTTCTAGACCCGGGACTTAACCAATCTCGTACGCTGTGCTTGGGTGCCTGCCTTTTTGTGCGGAGTTTCGTCGGGATAGCATCATCCACCCGACTTGTCTTGTCGTACTTGTTGGCAACTTGGCAAACTGGTTAGATAATTTGCCTATAATTCGTTGACCTCCTTTTCATTCCTCTATTACTAATGGTGATGATTTACAACAATACAAATCCCAAGTTACTTCTGGCACATTCGATTTTGTGCTAGAGGATACATGGGTTGCAAAGCATGGGAATTCAGAACTTAGGCAATTTCCTCTTCATAATTTTGCTGATGCTGGTCTTTCCTCTTTCCTCAATTTCTCCTGATTTTAATTGAATAGAAGGCGGCATTTGCTTTGTGTGGTGTCCAGCTTCTCAGTGTCTGACTACATGATGAACTCCTCTTGAGACATATCGACTCGAGTATGCTTAATTTCCTTGTCGCTTTTAATGCGCATCTCGTTTGTCCATCTATAAATGGTTGCAATGGGCATATAATACAAGGTCTCCTGATCTAGTGATAACATTTTCCATCTGGGGGCCTTCTCAATGCTTCCAAAAGCTTCAAATTCGGAATTAACTTTGAAAATTATTGGGCTTGAAGTGAGTGATCAGGACCATTGTGGAAGTGCCTTGTGGCTTATCTCAGTGCAGTCGACATTTTAAGGTTACTTTCGGGGATAAACTTCCTTGACCTTCCTTATCTTCCATTTACTTCTTACATGCGCATAAATGGATATGATGCAAACTTCTGAGAGCCCTTCAAATGAAATGTTTACTCGTACACATGTCTCTTTCTCTCTGCTCTGTATAACCTACTATCTCTTGGCTGGAACAAATAAAGAAATTCTTTTCTCACCAATAGGAATCAAAAGACTACATCTCTAATTTGAACTTTGCTCATTGCTTGATAATTTTCGAATATTTTAGCGAAAGATTGATTTATTTTACTATCCCTTCCAAATTATCGGATATAAACGAGAGCATCATTTTTATTAGATGGCTTTTTCTCCAAATGGTTTACTTTTTATGGTCTTGCCTTCCTTCTCTCAACAGGCTTCAGCACCTCCTATATATGGTGCTGTAGGGATGTCTGATGCAAGTCTACCCCCCACCTCTTTCCAAGGTCGTTTCGTTGATGCTGAAGGTGGATTGAATGGTGGCAATGGAGGATATTACCCGTCAGGTCTTCTTACTTCAGATCAACACAGGCAACAAGCACAACAGTTCTATGCTACAGCAGCTGCCATTGCAAACTGCTATCCTCTAGATTTCCAACAATTCTATGCCACAACTCCTAGAATAGCTCCTACAGATCCTTACTGGACAGCTGCTGTAGCACCTAGGCATCCTTTGACTTGGTATTCTTCTTCAAGAGGTCACCCAACTCCACCTCCACAGGCGGGAAGAGACAATGTGCAACAGCAAGAGTGCTATTACTCGGATTTAGCTGCAACACTTCATCATATGCGTCTGAGTGGAAGTGGCCAGGGCTCTGGTGTGCCTAGTGAACGTGGTACCTACTCACCAATTCAATATGCTGGTGGATGGGCTTATCCAACAGCTTCGCCATCATCGCACACCTCGTCTTCTCCTTTCCCGACACTTTATGGAGCGTCTGCACAGCAACAACAACACCACCATAGCATTCAACAACATCATGGTGGTGGTGGAGGTGGAAGACAAGGTGGTCAACAGGGGCATCATCCCACTTCGAATGCCGCTATGGTTACTGCAACCGCTCTGGCTGCTGTTGCAGCTGCCGCCTCTAGACTGCACCAGCAGACGGAGTTTGATCCGAAGGAACTTGTAAGAATGGTTCCAGGGTAAGTGCCTGTTGTAATGTTAGACGCATAGTTTCTGCTGTTATGTATTAGACTAATTTCTCTGTTCGTCACTTCCAAATCAATTTATCGGGATGAATAAACCTTCATTACCATCGATACTACTTTATGATCTCTCGCACCGCTTAAAATGAGCGAGTTTATGACCATTTTTTTTTCTTATCACGTGCATTGTGTTTGATTTTCCTCGTCAGTAACCTCTGATGACGTATTGTGTATGGTGCATTACTAATTGGGTGGTTACTAGTTTAGTTTGGAGTTAATCTTTATTTCAATCCTTTTCTGGTCTACGAATGTGGCAGGTTAGTTAAAGAGGCCTGCTTCAATTTACAGGTTGTTCATTGCAGATTTTTGTTGAATTTTTAAAGTGCTTGATAATGCAATTGCTTCTGTGTATTGTTGTTTACCAAAAAAACTATTTTTGTTTTGTAAATGCTGTGCATATTTGTCTTCTAATTGGAATGCAGGCCTTGATTCGAGATTTGTTGGTTTAATTAGTAGGATTGCAGGTTATTCTATATTACTACTACTGTTTGGTAGTGTCTGCTTATTAAAGCCTCGAGTTATCAAATCATTTTCTTTACATGAGTAATTTAAGCAGGGTTTTGTTCTAAAAAGTTTTTATCGGGGTATATTTTTTTCAAAAGCAATCTTGTGGGCTCGGCTTATTTAAGAAGGCCCTTCGTGTCTGAAAAAAACGAACTTTTTCATTATCCACGCTATTTTTATTTCAGTTTTTTCTCATTATATGTTTGCATTAGAAGGCATTTATTTTGATATGCCGTCGTTTATTTTTCTTCAATGTAGCCTCGAGACTTATGAATGGTACTAAGTTATCTGATATAACTTCTGACTGTGATACACCCACAGTGCTCTATACGGTCATGTTTTTCGCTTAGTTGCTGCAAATGTCGATTGATTGTGACTATGGCTAAGGTGTAAGTCATTTACATTATCGATCTATGACTTCTTTTTCTGAATCAATCGTTTATTGATTCTTCACTTCAACAATAATTCCCCTACTTTCTAACCGAGATTATTGACATCTTGGTGACTGGTTTTTCCTACTAATTGTATGCGTTTTTTCTATCCCATTTCCATACATGGTAAGTCTGCCACTTATCTTCCAATGTATGTCTTGGTGGATTGTAATTAGCGTTCTGTAGATTAAGATCAACTCTACTGCGCTTTCGCTCTTTAAACCACCCAGAACAAATCGAAACCTGAATTCTGGATGCTAGTTTGAACTGAATAGTGGAAATTCGCTTTCTGTATTTTGATTGATACTTCTAAGAGTAGTTTGGCGTAATTTTCAAAATTTGTCAGAAATTAGTTTTGTGGTCTACTCCTATCTCTTTATAACTCTTGTAAAGGTTAGGTATTCCTTGTAAATAAACCCAATATTAGTCGTTTGCCTATTTCAAAGTTAGTCTTTAAAGATCATTGGCTATTCATAAGAATCTAAACAGTTTTATTTCTCCTAATAATTAAAATTTTATCTCACTGGCTTTGGGAATCCATTCCAGACTTGTTAGCAACTTTATTGCTCGGTTATAATTATATCCCATTGCGCACTTTAAACGCCGTTGCGCCTGCTCAAAACCTATAAAATGACTCATTTTTAATCAATTGTGTGGTTGCTACTCTCATTTATAACTGCCGGCTAATTGATGAACAGTTTCTTAGGTAGTTGTCATTATTTTAGGAAGAAACGGTTTTTTCCCATATTTGACAACTATCCTCCTATGTAAAGATCTAGATTTATTAGTTGGAACAAGAGGACATTGATTGATGATGGAGGTGATCAATTCCGTAGAGTCTGATCACATCGTACCCTTGTTACAACTAATGAGATATACAACTTGAGAATTGGAAAAGTAGTACAATGGTTAGGAAAACACCATTCATCAGTTTGACTAATGATGACCTACCGTTTAGCCGTATCTTAGATTATTTGTGTATCGTCTCGTCCTATCGATAGTTTAGCGACAAACTCTAAACAAAACCCACTGATGGCCACTTAGTTCTTATTTTTTTAACCATGCTCAGTCAAGAGAGCAGCTGCAAAATGAGGGCCCCTCATCATATTGGCTCTAATTATTCTTCTCTGTATCAGAGGCTAATGCTTCAAGTCACCTCGAAAGTTTGTAATGCATAAGGAATTCTTTTTACTGGCTTTTCAGTTTCTAATTTTATTGGACAATGCTGCAACCAACCGGGGGGTTGAAAGTGGAAAATTAGTCCTGGCGAAATTAACTATGAGCTTATTAGCTATATGTTACTCAGTGCTTTGTAGTTCTTGTATAATGAATTTGAAGCAAAATCTAGCGGGGTCAATTTTTCCATTGGAGATTTTTTATGGAAGTGCTTTAAAAATATTATCATTATCCTTTCTTCCACTTCCTTCTTGATGATATTTAAATTGTTGTTTCAAACTATTGAAACTTTTGCGAAATATGGCCGAACGGAAAGATGCTGCTTCGAAATTTCCAAATAAACCGAAAGCCTAAAACTTCTATAATAAGCTTTAAGGACAGAGTGGTCTTATAAATGCGCTGCTAAACGTAAACACCTGAGTAGCCCTGAATTTAGACGAAAACAACAACGCAGCTGGACTTTAATCTTTGCTGTTTTAAAATCTCTCTCTCTCTCTCTACTTTTATTTATTTAGGATCAATCCGAAGGAATTGGACCCAAGTCTTTTCCGACGAACGCGTTACTTTGTGATCAAGTCCAACTCAACTCGCCACGTTATGCTCTCCATTCAACACGGTGTCTGGTGTTCTACCTTGGCTGGTAATGATTGCCTCAACCGAGCCTACCTTTCCATGCAGCAGCCACCATCTCCCAAGACTTCAACTGCTGCTTTAACTCCTTCATCTACCTCACCAAATGTCTCTGAAGTTAGTACTACTAAAGTTATTACTTGAGTAGTATATAATGTTCTTTCGGTACTATCAACTTTACTAGCTCCCAAAATTGCCACAAATTTTAAAACTCCATAATAAGGCCTAAATGCTCTAATTTTCACTTCAAAATTTCGCAAGGCAATGTCCCTGTCATTTTTCACGCTAACAATTAAGCAAATTTAATTATTTCTTTCCTTAGCATGTTACTTAACTTATGTCCAAGTATTGCCTTTATTTCGTTAATTCTTATTGATTATGGTTGGTTAAAGAGACGAGATATTGCTATTTGTTTTCCTGACCATATTGCACATTGACTCATATATGGGAAGTGGCTTTTTATTTATTGGTCGTCCTATTTCCTCGACTTGCCTTTGCAGAATAGAGGTCACTTTCCGTTTTTTGTGTATTTAATTAAGGGCAGTTTTGTTCCCTGTTTAATTTCCGACACTTTAAGACTTCTAGAAGTAGAAACAGTTTCTTAAAGAATTTTGAATTTTTATGAATGGGCCCAAGCGATAATACAGCATGTACTTTACTTGTCTAGAATAGTTTTGCCAAGATCACATCTTAGTACCATGTTTTCTTAATGTCAGCGCCTTATTGAGATCACTGGAGATAGTGTTGGTTTGGTCGTGGCTCCAACCGATACCCAGAATCCTGGGGTCTGAAGGTCAGGAATTATCTGCATTGACAGTCTTCTCTTCATTTATTTAATATAAAGCAAGTTTCTTCGAAGTGTTCACTTTCTGTTTCTTTCCCCAGAAATTAGCTGAAGGCTCCGATTCCGCCACCAACGAGAGTTCGAACTCACAATCACAGACGTTGCCAGAGCGTGGTCGAGTGTTGCTCTTCTTTTCAGTGAACACGTCAGGCTGTTTCTGTGGAGTAGCCGAAATGACTAGTCCAGTGGACAAGGCCAAGCAGCTAGATATTTGGCAAGACAGTCGATGGCGTGGTGCCTTCAATGTGCGATGGATCTATGCCAAGGTCAGTGGCCGTTCTTGCCACTCTATTTTGTGGTGTTTGACTAGAGCTGTAGTGCAAATACGGTCGATTAATCTAAAAATGTCGCAGTAACAGACTAGTAGCTTACTGAAATAGTTCCATTTGAATGGCTAATTTTAGTAGCAAATTCGTAATTGGCAAGAAATAGTACTAAAGTAAACGACCTAGATTTTGCTCATTATTCCTTGAAGTGTTTGCGGACCCTCGGTAGTCTTCATTCATTAATTTCTAAGACAACCTCTGCATTAGTTGGAATTTATCAATTCTATTTGATTGTTTTGTGTGATCAGCTAGCTTTTGCATGTCTAGTTGCAATTACGGTAGACCAATGGGCCTGGTCCTTTGGACTATTTCATTATCATTTACTTCGATTTGGTAATTGACCAGATTATAATGTCCCTTGAGTAAATCCGTTTTGCACGGCTCTGTCGCAATTGTAATATGCAGTCGGGGAATTGTTTGTCTTGGCGTGTGGAATGTATTTCTAATTCCATCGCCCACAGTTCTAAGTTGCCAACCTTCTAACCAGGGTTCCTAACTCCATAAAAGTAAATACTTCGTCTTTAATTCAAGAAAGTACAAAATAGAACCTTATCAATTCGAGGAATTACAGCAAACATAATGAATCACTCTTCAGACTCTCAAATTTTATGAAATATAGGGATTTCAAACGTCTTGCATCTAGTGGGAATACATCCAAGATGGCCCTTGTTTAAATATTTTGCCATGTCGCTCTTTTACTCCCAATCTCCTCTTCTAGAACGTCCCAAATCGCCTGTTGCGTCACATTCAAGTGGAGTCGGCGGAGAATCGAGCTGTGACACATCTTCGAGACACAAACGAAATTCTGCCTGCTTCGAAGGGCGAGGAAATGCTTCAAATCATTCACAACAATTGGTGAGTTTCCCCTCTCTTTTTTTGTTCACAAACGAGACGAGGATAAATTTTTCCATGCACAAAAATTAATAGTGCTGTGCACTAGAATATAGTCGATACTGTATGAGCTCTATGAATTTGGCTGCTTTTAAACGCGTTTTCTACCAATCTCTAAGCTCTATTGATGAGTGGTTTCCACAGAGCCGACAGACAGTTCGAAGTAGAAGTCACAATTATGAACGTGGTGCGTGTAAAAGTGCGGTACAGGAGGGCTGTGAACTCTTCTGTAAACATTTACCTAATAAAGTAATGAATCACGTAGAAATGGCTTAATGACAAATCTCCTTTGCGTGTAACTCTTCTCAAGGCACGAATTGCTAACTTGTTCGTATCAAAAAAGCATTTTCTAAATATAGCACCTCATTCGCTGTGCCTTTTTTGATATCAATGCTGATGTCTATCGAGGCGCGCGTTCACTGCAACCCTGGTAATGTATGCACGATTAGATGTTATCTTTATCTACTCTAATTTTTATCTTTGTGGTTAATATTGTTACTATTACTATCCTTTATCATCTTCGCTATACTTGAAGAATGAACAATTGCGAATTATAAACCTCTGTAGGGAAGTGGGAAAAGTGTAAATATTCCAATAGCTTCCTTTGAGTCTAACATTCTAGAGCCGCTATTTTGATAACCTAGCATTTCGCTCTCTCGTTGGTCAGAATTGGTGGGGTGGGGGG